TGGCACCATAGCTAGAGCTTGACATGGAGGGGGGAAGAAGAAGTCTCCCTTACTTGATGAAACTCTGTTCTTAGTTGGTTCGTGGGTGTTGATAACGTGATTGGGATCCTGGGAATTCATGTGGCTGATTAATGTGGCACACTGAGTACCACATGGGCCCCTGCAGAGCCCGACCAGGTAGGATAGGGGTTCGGTTGGGGCCTTTCGGGCCCTGTGTCGGTTCAGAATAGGAAGGGGCCCTTTTCAGGCCCCCATGTCGTTTGGCCTCGGTAGGCCCAGTAGGTAGGCCTTTTTGGTAGAGGCCCAGTAGGCGCCCAGGCTGCGGTAGGCCCTTTTCAAATTCGACCATTTCGAATTTTGGCGCCAACTTTAGGTGCCAGACTGCTTGGGCGCCACTGGTGCTGTTCGGCATTGGTGAGGGCAGCCTCCCAGCCGGACCAGCACTATATTTACCTGGTCCGCCTAGGAGGCTGGCGTTCAGTCTTCGGGCATTCAGCAGCGGCACTCTCCGGAGATGCTGCAGCAGTAGTAGGATGATAGGAGTTAGTCTTCCAGCGCCGGGCGCTGCTAGGACCTTAGGGTAGCCCTAGGAAGGAGGAGAGTGGCGGAGGCCAAGGGACTTACCTGGGAGCTTACCAGTGACGCCATCGCTCCAGCTTCGTCTTCAGCGTACCTGCGGCAAGGCGCCACCAGGTTAGTACCTGGCACAGAGAGAAAGAGAGAGAGAGAGCTCTTCTTCTTCTTCTTCTTCCTCCAGTCCACCATGTCTCCCTTACCCTCTAGCTTTGTGACTTCTCAGTATCGACAGACAAAGAGAGAGAGAGAGAGGATATCGACGACATTGTGTTGACGACATTCTCATCTCCTCCTCCTCTTCGTCTGATCCCCCTCCTCCTCATCTGTGTATGACCTGAGCCTGGCGCATTCTTCCTGTGTGTGGCGCCAGGCCCCTTCACACCTTGTGATGATGATGATGTATGCTCGGTCTGCATTGCAACATTGATTGGTCTGATTATTGGTATTTCAGTCTTCCGCTGTGCTATCTTGTTCTATCTGACAGTATTAATGAGGATTGATTATATTCAATCCTATTTTTGGATTTTGTGAGCTTCCGCTGTGTACTCTCGTCATTGGTGTGGTGTGGATTCCTCTCCCCGAGTCTACTTGTCGTTGCACACGTTTATGGGAACGGGTGAATCCCCTGCGGGATTCATTTTTAATCAGGCACATAACATTACGATGCTCTTGGAAAGTGCACATATGCTGGGGATGGACAATGGACATGTAATCGATTTTGGAGGCATTATTGTATCTGCTGGGTTCAGGCTCGTATCACGAGACTGATTGAGACTGGGTTCATTACATCCAAAAGACAAACTCTCCAAAAAACATGGAATGAAAACCTCACCTTCAAGTTTGCAGGTCTTTCCCTTTTTGGTAAGAATTTCCAAAATCTGTTGAAAATTTGAAAATTCAAAGTAGCAATTCCGATGTGGAAGGATGAATGAGGAAAAGAAAATAGCGGATCAGTAAACCAAAGTTTCGTCGAGAATTTCCATAAATTTGAATGAATTATTAATTTCAATTTAATTATTTAATGCAAAACCGAAGTTTTGTCGATAATGCCAGGTGAGATATGGCGCCGTGAACATCCTTCATCAAAAAGAAGGGGCGCTTCGCAAATCAAATACTTTGTAAATTACTAAATAAGTAATTGTAATAGTTATTAACCTAGGCTACCAGCCAGGCCGCCCGGGTCACCCTGTTTTCCCGGGCAGCCCGGCCGTGCAAGGACCAGGGAAGGTCCCAGCCAAAAAAAATAAGTGAAGGCGGGCCTAACTTATCACAAGAGGCCTTTGACTGTCAATTTCATATTTGGGGTCCAGGCAGTTGAGACACGCAGTTAGTTGAGCGAAACACAGGCCGAGCAACCAAGACATTTCCCCGGCCTTCTGGGCCTTTCTGAAGCATGCAGGCCCTGGACGAGAAACACAGCCTCATACACTGACAGTTGGGAGGCCCAACCAACAGAGGCCCAGTAGCTGCAAAGTAGCATGCAGCATCCTGGGGCCTACCGGAAGCTTCTGGGCCCAGGCCAATTCCAGCCAGGCTGCGAGACAGGCAGGCTCTTTCCATATAGGAAAGAGCCCGCCACCCTGGGCCTCATTCAGGCACTCACATGCTAGCGACAGCGCTGCTGGAGCACAGGCTCGTGGGCTGCTGCTGGCGCTGAGAGGCGAGGTGCAGCACGTGCGGTCGTGCAGGGAAGAAGGGCGCTGCTAAGGGCAGTGCCATAGCCCAGCCACCATAGCTGGTGGGCTTGGACTACAGTGAGGCGCATGAGTGGTCTTCGGGTGTAAGGGAGGAAGACGTGGGTGTAAAGTCAGTGAAGGGTGAAGGATGATGATGATGATGATGTGAGGGCACATACCTTGTATTGGCGATGGTCTGCATTTGGGCGACATCTTCAAGTACTTCGGGTTGCCGCTGATGTCAACAGTTGCATTGTCAATTAGTAAGCTGATCGTAGCTGTGTAGGAGTAGGATGGGCGCTGAGCGCCAAATAGGAGTGTGAAGGGACTGGACTCTTGTGTTGTTGGCGGAGAGAGAAAGCTCTCCTTGACATTGGTTTTCAGTACTACGAACCTCCATTGGTGTATTATTGGTGCAATGCTGCTCTCTGTACAGGGTGTGACTATCTGGCTTTCAATGTGATGGTGTAATCTGGAATTGTCATCCCGCTGTTGCTCATTTTCCTTGCAACTACGTTATGCAGAAAAATAAACTGAACAACTTTTGCCTCAGGGTCACATCAAAATTCTTTACCAAATTTTAAATTTAAAATAAAATTTTGAATTAGAAATTAATAATTATTTTTTTATTTTTCTAAATCTTTTTGTCCCAGCCAGGCAAGTGGACCCGGGCCACTCTGGTAGCCTAGTTATTAACTTATTAGTTTGTGAATTAAACTTAATGTCCTTCTTTGGGAAAAAAAATGAAGATTATTTTTTTTTTTTTTCGAAAAAAAAGGATGTTTTGGCCTTTTTCCCCCCCCCCCCTCCCCCTCCTCTGACTACATATTGATAAATATCTGAGAGTGTTCATCGTTGAGCCTTTTTTTTTTTTTTTTTCAATTTGGGGAGCTAAACGGTACCTGCTGTTGGCTCTGTTTGTCAACTTTGTCTGATATTATACAGGTTATTCATTACAGCCTGCCACGCAGTCTGGAGCATTATGTACAGGCAAGTGGTGTTTTTTTTTTAATAGTTTTTATTTACTATTTTTAGGTAATTCAGGATGATATTATTCTAGTCATCTGGTTGCATCTGGGTTCCAACTCAGGTCTACATTTTTAACAATTCATTGGTGTAACAACTGCGGTACGCCCATTGGTACAGGCAAGTTTTTTTTTTGACATGTAAGTTCAGGTTTATTATGTGAGAACATTTTTCCTCCACCACAGGGGTTGTGGATCATCTACCATCTCAGACTGTCAGGGTATACTCAGACGAGTACTTTTTTAGGTGAATCTACCTTTGATTGTGATCAGATACGACCTCAACATACCCACTGTACTAACTGTAAGCATTTCCTTAGCGTCCTTGTCCAGGCTGTCTTCCCTTCCCCTAAGTAGTGATTTGCTCTTAGTATTTTTCACTCAGAAGGACAGTTTTTTGGAAGGACCCAAACTCTGATTCTGAGGTATGAAAATCAAGATTAGATCAAGATTAATCCCGACCTGGTTTGGTTGCCTAATTCTGACTTAGTTTGTTTGCCTATTTCTTTTGAATCTCATGTCGTTAGCCGTGTCGACTGTCGTATGTTTTGTGGTTATTTCCCGGGAAATATTCTTAGGGGCTCGTTCGACACTCCTCGGGGCGTCCTCGGGATTCCTTGGAGTCACCCGAGGAAATTCCCGCCTTCGTTCCACTCATCCTCGGAGACGTCCCTCGAGGACGATTCCTCGGGGCTCCGGCAGCCAGATTTATATGTGTACAACCGGACGCGGGTGTGGGGCCGACGGTGGTCCATGGAGATGTGTCCGTCCGGACGACGTTGGTCCACGTTTGTTGGGCGTCGCGATTTCGAAAGACGGTGGCTTTCGAAAATGAAGGGGCCATTGGAAAAGGCGCGCAGCCCTTCGTTCGAAATTTGAAATTCGAATTTTTGCAATGCGAGTGGCGGCGCGTACAAGACGTTGTTTTTTTAATTTGACGGCAGCAGCGTCCAGCGTGCGGGGGCGTTTGCTGATGTGACGACGTTGGTCGGCGGTTTCAGTGTCGACGGGGTACGCACCTGTGCGCCTTCGAAGAAGCAGAGACGCCATCGACTTGTCGCCATCGTCGCAGGCTGACGTCCGTCGTCGTCGCGTGGCGTTCAGGGTTGTCTGGCGAGGCGGCGCTGTCTTCTTCCCGTGGTGGTGTTCGTGGAGTGTTGTTTTGATATTGACGTCCATGTCCACAGAAGTGGCGTTGGGGATGGATATCGACTGCGAGGACGACTGTGACGTGTTGACGACGGCGGAGAGGACGATCGTCGCTGCGGCCGTCAATGTCGTCCTCTTGCCAAATGGAGAGCAGCGAGGGGAAGTTGAAAGCGGCTGTTCATGCATGCCGCAAGCTGACGGCGATGCCGACGACTGGTGATGGCTTTCGACATTGGTGCCATTTCGGACGCCATCCTGCAGGTGTGCTACGTGATGGGGTGCGATGCATTTCCACGGGGACTCCAAGGTGGTGGATGAAGCGACGGACGGGGGGTACGTGGGAGGATCTGCGGCAATGTGATGATGCCTCCATAGATTACTTCAAGGAGAAGCTGCGAATGTCGCCATGTCCTTTTGCCTGAACGGCGAGATGTAACCGCCCTCTCCCTCCCCGCCTTCTCCGTCGTTGTCGTCTTCGTCGTTAGAGTCTCCTTCCGCATGTGCTGCGTCCGTGTCCTTTTCCTGATCTGCCACACGAAGCCGCTCCACCCCCCGTCTGATGGATTCCTCTCGCCCCGCCCGAAGCTCCCGTCGCTGCTCCGCCCTCACCTCCCTCCCGTCCCGGTCGTCACCAACATCAAGGAAGGCGGTTTCAGTGTCGACGCTATTGCCGCAACGGCGGGCCACGCTGGATGTCGCAGACAAGGCGACTGCACCCACTGGATCCGACCTGATGCGCCCCTAGAAAGAGACGACGCCCGTGCTGCCTGCGTCGACGGGTTCGGGTCCGCACCCGTCGCCTCTCGTGCCAACGCTCTCGTCTTCGATGGCCGGTCCACAACCGTCAATTGCCCACCGTCGTCGTCGGGGTGGGGGTTCACGAAGAGTGTGCGCGATGGAGTTGACGACCGCCCAGTGGAAAGACCGAAAGACAGGTTGACGGTGTCGTCTTCTCCATCGCCGCTCAACCCTGGACGAAGGAGGTCAGTGAACGACTGCTCGTACAAGCCGCCGCCGGTCCTGCATAGCTCCATAGCCGCCCACTCCTGCGTCGATCCGCTTCCCAACGACACGGTGCATGTCCCTCCCTCCTCCTCCTCGTCTGATGTGTCGGGGAGGGGTTGCAAGTGCGGTGGCAATGCCACATACCCAATCCTCTGGGACGCCCTCGAAATCGTCGACGGGCTTTCCTAGCCACGCCGACCACTGACCTGCTCCCCTCCGGACCTGGGGATCGACTGCCGTGCCTCCGTCCTGGCGTCCTTCATCGAAGACCACCCTCTGCGTCAACGCCGCGGTATGTTCCTAAGGATACACACGTGGAAGACAATCAAGACGACCAGCAACAGGACAACCAGGACCAGCAGCGGCAGCCTGCGAAACACGTCGGCCATGAAACAGAAGACGACGACGGCAGCAGACAGAACACAGTGGGGGGTGACAAGATAACGGCGAAGTGCAGCGCTGCAAACAGCCGTCAGGAACGTGTCGACAAACGGAAGGTGTCGTACTCGCTCATGGACGACAGTGCGTGTACGGGAGAGGTCGCGGTGGCTGAAATATATCTGCCGACCGTTGGGCGAATTCCCGCTGCGTGCCAAGCGGGACGACGGAAGACACCACCTTCTGGACGTCGGGGATGCCGGTAGGCCGCAAACGATAACCGTTGGCGTCGAATTCCGTGAAGGCGAACGTTGGCGACCCAACATGTCCGTGGAGACGCAAGAAGGACCACCGATGGACCAGACGGGATCGAAAAATGTCGTCGAGGGAGCTGCCGTCCACGCCTCGATTCTTCCGGATGCTCGACCTCCAAGGGACCTCGGGAGGTCCCTTTGGGAAATTGCCAAAATGGCTGTAGCCCGAGGATTCCCCGAGGAATCCCCGACGAAATGTTTTCACATTATTTTTTTCAAATCTTCCCTGAGGATGAGTGGAACGACGAATTCCTTGGGGAATTTCGGCGCCCGAGGAGTGTTGAACGAGCCCCTTAGCCTGAGATTCGTAAAATCAGAGGTCGGGCCCTCTGATTTCTTAACAGTAATTTTTAAATTTTAACTCGACCCTTTTGATCTGCTGATTCGTGTTGACGCTTAAATTCATGACGTACGTAATCTTGATGTTGAAATTCTAGTCACTGTGTGTTCCAATTCGATTTCTGATTGTTTGATCTTGATTTGTGTGGGCACCTTTGATTTCTTAAAAGTAATTTTCAATTTTAACTCAATCTCTTTTGATCTTCTGATTTGTCTTGACGCTTAAATTCATGAGGTACGTAATCTTGATTTCAAAATTCTAGTTACTGTGTGTTCCGATTCAATCTCTAATTGTCTGATCTTGATTTGCAAGTTCTCGAAATCGGACTTAGTTCTGATGTCTCAATAATCATTCCATCTGTTTCTGGCTATTGAATTTGAATGGCAGCATCTCCTTTAGGGTTGGAGCCCCTCCCTGTGAGGGTTACACAGGGTGGGTGGTGTGATCTTTGAGAGGGAGGGGCGGTGTTGAGGGTTTGTCCTTTTCTGGGCCATGCTGATTTTTGGGTCGGATCAGCTATGGCGGTTGGGGAGAGAGGACAAGGGGTGCTGATATGAGCATGGTGAGATGTTGTAGGGCTGTTTCACTTGGAGGGGGCGGGGCAGGAGGGAAGGGGGATCTTCGGCTCTGCGGGGCATACTTTAGGGGGTACTGTATGCAGCTGAGGGAGCAGGCGTGGCTTCTAGGGGGCTGTTCTGAACTGGGGCTGGGAGGTGAGGGGGCGCTTCCCCGCGGAGGCAGTATCAGACAGGGGGTCGTTTTGTGAGGGAGAGGAGTAATCCATTTTGGTTCTTGTGAGCCATGTACATGCAATCGAGATTAGACTAGGCGCTGGAGTTTCCATGGGGAGAGAGGGCGTTTTTTTCCCTCCCTTCCCCTCTTCTTGTGGAAATAGTAGGCGCTGAAACGTGTATAGGGTTTTCTCAATCTTCTGATTTTTCAATATGTTCTTCAGAGAGGTGAGTGGGAGAAGTAGATGGTGGGATATCGGGCGTCCTACTAGCGAGAGGGCTAGCTCGTAGGATGGAAATAGGGTACAGCAGCAGCGAAGATGGTGGCTCTGCTGCAATAAGTCTTGCCAGAATGAGGTAAAGAGGATTGTTGGGGGGTTCTGAGTTGTTTGTCCTTAGCCGAAGCCAGGTAATGCCCAGGTATCTCAAAAAAGGAGGGAAAGGGGGGGATCTAGAAGTGGAGGATGGAAGGTAGGAAGGGGGATCTCAACAGATGAAGGTTGCTTGTTAAGGTAAGTGGGTTAGACGGATGATGCTGGGATGACACAGGCCGGTGCTGGAGCTTTTGCTCTGTGACCTGGGGGAGCTTGAGGCCTGTGGAGTTATGCCGAGGGTGGAAGGCATAACCAGACCATTCCACGTAGCCGGCGCCGAGGTATTAACACTGTAACCTGTGTCAGGGGCTTGCCGCTAAGGGAAATGTCGATGGAGGAAGGCACTCCTTGTCCGTCAGAACTAGGTTGGTCAGTACTGGGGAAGGTTGTGGTGCCCTGTTACCCTAGCAGAAGGGGGTATGAGATCAAGTGAGTTTTGGTACGAGGACTGAAAGCCTGGACCGACGTTCCGTCTGTTGAGGGGGGGATTTTTGGATAGTAGGCAGTTTTATTTTTGGCCCCCCGCTCTCATATTTTTCCAAACCTTTTCAGTTTTTTTCTGAATTTTAGCCTATCTCATGAGGAAAGTCTTGAGAATGCCTTAGGATTCTGGGCACCTCTTGCAACTCATTTTAGGTTTTTTTAATGCTGTTATATTCAGGGATCTGCGGTTTTTCAATGCCAGAACGACGCTGGCCGGAGCTGGGGGTTTGCCCTGTAACCTGTTGATAGCAGGAGCGTGAGGCCTGGTAGAGAGATCTGGGGATGCCTTGGGCCGGGCATTCCAAGGGAAAACCAAGGGTTGCTGTCAGTACGACGCTGGCTGGAGCTGGGGTAAGTTGTGTTGCCCTGTAACCTAGCAACATGGGGGCATGAGGCCTGGGAAAGCTCGGCAGGGAATACGACAGTGTTAGAGAATTTTAGAATGTTTTATTGGGGATTCCAGGGGTTCTGAGCATTCAAAGGGCTTTTGTGGCTTTCCGTTTTGACTTAGCAAGTGCCGCTTGAGTAGCCTAGCAATTGGTTTGCAGTTATCCATGTTTTTCCTAATTTTTCTAGAATATTTTTCATAGTTCTCAGATTGTTCTTAGCCGAAGCCAGGTAATGGCCCTGGTATTTCAAATCATTTGTATAATTCTATATGGGACACTGGGCCCGGTTCCCAGCATGTGTTGCTCCCCACGAATAAACTGGAGCATTTGTCCCTTAAATCAGCAAACCTGCGTAGCACGGCGAACGTGTTCGCACCCCTTCACGTTCGCGCAAACAGCTCGCGAACATGTTCGGGTGAACATTTTTTTTTTTTCGTAAAAAAATAATAATAATAATAAATTGTTTCGGTGTTTTATTTTTAACTCATGATTGGCTTCGAATTTGAACATGACTCCAAGGTAAAAGTTGCTTGTATTGTTATTTTACATAACATATATTTTTTTCAGATTTTTCTGGGAACCTTTTTTTTTTTTTTTATGTTTGCGCTCGGAGGGTTTTGGGCGCTTGTTCGCGTTCGGGCGAACGAACGCAAACATGGTGCTACGTAGCAGCAAACACAATGCAAGCTTTTAAGAAGAAGGTTGAGAAGAAGAAAGCGAACGCAAAAGCGAAGCGTGCAAGGCCTCAAGGACGAATGTGAAGAGACATGAAGACGCCTACATACACGCGCAAAGAAAAATGAGAAGATAGAAAAGGAGAAGGAGAAAGAAAGAAACCAAACGCAAAAAGCCATAGATGGATGGTACGCGCAAAGGCTAAGACACTCATATTAAAGAATACAAATGGTAGCGCAGAATAGCGCCATGCTGGTGGAGTCCATACGATCGTTCAGCCGCCCGCCAGAGACGGCCTCATCAGTGGCAGTCCCTGTCAATCACATGTGCTTTGCATGCACCAGAGGGATACTGAGAGGCAATGTGTGAACTGCGTCGTGGTGATCATGCTTACCGCATAACCTTTGTGCAAGGAAAATGAACGATAGCGAAGTGACAGAAATCCAGAATGCAAAATCACATTGAAAGCCAGAAAGTCGAATGTTGTCCAGAAAGCAGAAATGCACTGATATTACACCAACGGAGAACCAAAGCACCGAATCCGAATATCAATGAGAGCATACTCTCGCCACCACCAACGTATTTATCCACAGCCCTTCCTCCTATTTGGCGCTCAGCGCTCAGACTACGATCACACAGCTACTACCAGCCTACAAATTGACAATGCATCCTGTTGACATCAGCAGCAACAACCGAAGCACCTTAAGATGTCGACCCTGTAGACCATCGCCAAGACCAGGTACGTGCCCTCACATCATCATCCGCATTTCTCTCTCTCTCTCTCTCCCTCATCTTGTCTGCCCATGTCTTCCTCCTCATACACAAAGACCACCACCACCTCCACTGGCTATCCAAGCCAAGCCCTGGCTATGTAGGGCTGGCTATGGATCTGCTGAGCTTCCAGCCGCCGCGCGCACTGGGTACCTAGCACTAGCCCACAGCGCACATCCCGCGAGCGCACGCTCAAGCAGCGTTGCCGCATGCACTGCCTAGTGCCCGAATGTTCCCACCAGTGGCGAGCTCTTTCTTTATGGAAAGTGCTCGCCCAGTTTGCTGTCTGGCTGGGCCTCGTGTGTTTCCAGTAGCTTCCGTTTGGGCCAAAGTGTCTGCACTCAGGCCCATTCAGACAGTGGCCTGGGACTGAATTGGTTAGGCCTGCCCAACCACCCAGGAGTAAACATGAGGTTTTCCCTGCTTCGCCTGTGCTGCTGGAAGAGCCCAGAAGGCTCACAAATTATTTCTGATTCTCACGAGTACGGAGGATGTAACCAACTGGCGCGTGGCAACTGTCTGGCGCCTACCAAACTTTGCCAAAATTGATGAACTCAGGCCATATTGAAATTCAGGGGCCTGCCTTCACTTAGGCCGGGCTCATGCTTGCTGAAAGGGCCCCACAGGGGCATGCTGAGGAGCTAATTCGTAACAAGGCCTCGTTGAAAATCCATGCTCACATAGGGGTTCCAACAGACCTTGCTTGGGCCCCTCAGCCTGGTCTTGTAGGCCTTTAAACAGGCATTGGCACATATTTGCAGGCCCGCCTTCACTAAGGGCGGGTGCGGCCTTTCAGACACTGCCGAGGAACTAAATCCTTGCATTTGCGTCTCTCTATTGGCTGAGCTGCCCACATTTTGCTCTCTCAGCAAGATTGATGTGATAACAATCTGTTGCTTCGATGGATGCTCATAGTATCCTGTCCTCGAGTTTTTTTTTTTTTTTTTTTTTTTTTTTTTCCCCTTGATGGATGCTAAGAGTGTCCTGTCCTGATATATGCTTTTCTGTGATTGGCGTCTGCTTACAAACTGTTCCAGGAGATAGGACGAGCAGGGCGAGACGGTCAGGATGCGTTCTGCCACTTGTTTCTCTCTGTTAAAGATTATCTGAAACTCCGAAGCCTGGCACACAGGTTAGTCTTTTTTTCTTGGCCTCACTACTTCCAAATTCCTCCAGAAATTTGTTCTTGCTTCCCATTTGGCGTGTGGTGTGTTCGTTGATCTGCCTTTCAGTGACCAAGATTTACTCATTAACCAAAAGGAGCCTTTTATATTTGATGGTGTGCTGTAAATCGGCAGATGTTGGATTCCTTCTAGAGC